GTTATAGAAACATTTTCAAGGTCATTAAGTCTTCATGACGTCATCCAGGCGCCATTTTGTGTTATTTTTGGTACTTTTTACTCAGGATCATATCTTCATAACGGAAAGGCATTTCCTATTCATATTTATCATGATTAAGGTCAATATCCGTCCGGTCAATTTCAGTTCAGAAGACGCGCGCTCATGCGTACGTCCGCGCGTTAGCGCGCGCGCAAACAAATAAAATGCTTCAAATCGTCTCAAATTCATTTTGCATACGTTTTAGGCCATTTTAAGCATTTTGTAAAAAAAAAACGCGCACACGCGCATGGGCGACCGTTTTCGCGCGTCCTGGCATTTGGCAACATAAAATCCCCAATTTTTTTTTCTGTCATCATATCTGACACATTTTTTCAAGCACTTTGATACATTGTTCATCTTTTTCTGTTCATTAATAACGGAATGAGCGTCCGTTTAAGATAATATCCATGCGTGCGAGCTCTTGTAATACATAGCATACATGGGCAAAAACATGCCTTTACAAAATTCATTTTAACTCTTTAGGATGCAAGGTGAACCCAATTTTGTTTTCATATTTTGATACGAGTGTGAATTGGAGATATGATTTCATGTCTCATTTTACCCTCAATTAACTCATGATGTCATCATAATGGCCTCCGAACTCAAAATTTCAATTTGCATATTATGACGTCAGCATATTTACGAAAAATTGATTGTATCTCTGTAAATATCGATTGATTTACTTCCAGATTTTGATATGTGACACGAATTTTCATTTTGACGAAAGCATCATGGCGTATTTTTGTGATTAAAGGAGGCATGTCAATTTTTCACATTTTGCGTTTATTCTCTATGGGACATGGCTTTTTCTCAAAACTGGATTCCACATTCCCGTCTTTTATGAGCAGTATCTCCGTCGTTTTTGCTTCAATTTTTTCAATTCAATTTTCAATTTCAATTTTTTCAATTTCAATTTATTTGCTCATAAAAATCCAGAAAACACGTGCAAGCATTCATAAATCAACATGATACAAAGGATAAAATTCACAAGAAAAATTAATAACAAAGTATACATTTGGATTAAGTATGAGAGGGACAGCAAGAAAGGAACAAACCTTGTGATTAGCTGACCCTGTAACATAATACATTAAGGACGCTACAAGAAATAACAAATCACTTACAACAACATAAAGGGGGGGGGGGTATACCTATACATTTAAACAAACAAACTTGGTGAATACCTGTCTAAAATAAAGTGCCTAGATTTTGACTTAAAAACATTTAACGAAACTGCTTGTTTAATATCTGAAGAAATAGAGTTCCAGATTTGGGGTCCTTGAAATAATATTGAGTTTTTAAAAGATGAGAGCCTCGGTTTGGGTAAATGAAAATCATTAGCATTTCTTGTATTGTATCCATGATATTCATTATTGAACTGAAAGAATGTTTTAATATAGTCTGGTAAGAGGTGATTGTTACATAAGTACATAAATATAAGTACCTGAAATACATATATATCATGAAATTTCAAAACACCTGATTCAATAAATAAAGGGTTGGTATGGGCAAGGTAAGGTGCATGAGACATATTTCGTATTGCACGTTTTTGTAAAATAAACAATCTATCAATGTGATTATTACTTGCATTACCCCAGACAAGAATACCATAATTAAGATACGGATATACAATTGCATAATAAATCATTTTTAAAATCTCCTTTGGAAATGATCTTAAACAATACATTATTCCTATATTTTTTGCCAGCTTATTGCACAGACTATCAATGTGATTTTTCCATGTAAGTTTATGATCTATTGTAATGCCTACAAATTTTACTGACGTTACACACTTAATATCTGTATTGCACACTCTAATTGAAAGATAATCTGGTATCAATAAATTACTAAAAATAATATAACTGGTTTTTGCTACATTGATTATCATTTTTATTTGCGTAAAACCACTCAGATATTAATTCAAGTTCAGAATTGAATAGATTATGTAAGTCCTGACAGTTAGGATGGGATAAAAACAGACTGGTGTCGTCAGCAAACATAATACAATGTAATAATTTAGATACTTTACTAAGGTCATTTATAAATAAAAGAAACAACAGTGGTCCTAAGATAGAACCCTGTGGTACCCCACATGATATAGTCCCTTGCTGTGATTTGCATTTAGAAATTTCAACATATTGTTTTCTATTTGATAAATAACTTTCAAATAATTTAAGTACAATACCTCTTATGCCATATAATTCAAGTTTGTGTAATAAAATAGCGTGATCTACTGTATCAAAAGCCTTCTTCAAATCTAAAAACATTGCAATCATATTTTTCTTGTTATCAAGAGCATTAACAACAGTGTGAACAAAATCAATAAGAGCCGATGACGTCGAATGTCCAGGACGGAAACCATATTGGTTCAAAGATAATATATTGTACTTGCTTATAAAATCAAATAATCTATTGTACATGCATTTTTCTAAAATTTTAGAGAAAATTGGCAAGACTGATATGGGTCTGTAATTTGCAACATTTTCACTTGAACCATTTTTATATACAGGAACCACACGAGCAATCTTTAATTCATCAGGAAATATACCTAAATCTAAGCATTGATTGAATATTGCACAGATGGGTTGACATAAAATATGTATAGATTTCTTTATAACCTTGATACTTATATCATCGTACCCAGGACTGCAATCTCTCTTTATATTAGACACAATATCAATGATCTCGGAACATGTGATTGGTTTAAAATAACACGTACTAGAATTCCTATCCAAATAACGACAAGGATTCAAATTTAAATTATTGCCCTGATCAACAGGATATTTCAATTCAGATACAATATTAATAAAATATTCATTAAATACATTACAAATTTTGGAGGTATCATGTAACACCAGATCATAAGATATCAAAAAATTAATACTGCACTTTTTATTTACACGACCCATTGCACAATTAACTATGTTCCAAGTCTTTTTCATATTCCCTTTGGCTGTTGCAAAATTTTCCATGAAATAGTGTTTTTTAGCTTGTTTAATCATATTATTGACTTTCTGTACACTTCTTTTCGATACGGTGTTGGGTTTCTCAGATAAAGTCGATATGAACGACATTTTTTCTTGCTGAGCTTCGAGTATGTTGTAGCTGAGACAATAAGCTATCACTAGTGTGCCATTTATTTCTCGATCAGATGCCGGGATCATGCTCATATTTCACTTGCAAAGTGGGATTTGAGAATTTCATTTTCCGTTTACGTGTAATCGCTATGGGAAACGTTTTGGTATATCGGTAACGCACTTGACTTCCGACCTCGAGGTCCCTGGTTCGAGTCCGGGCGTAACCAACAATTTTTTTCTTCACTTTTTTTTCTTTTTGACCTTTCAATGATCATAAGAATTGAAGACAGACCACCTAATTCGTCCCCATGACGAATTCAATTTCTAGTTATTATTGTAATTGTCATCATTGTTATCTTTATTGTTATAATTATAATAATACTAATAATTATATACCTCACTTAAGAAATCCAGCCATCTGATTGGTCGAAATTGCATTCATAAACTTCAACTATTTCTGTAAAATTCCCAGTAACCATGGTTAAAAGCGTTGCCTCCTCCTGTTGGGTCCAAGCTACTGTAGACTCCACGTCTCGGTTTTTACTTGCACGTCCACCGTTTTATTGTAAATAATAGACATCATTCACTGTTTTGAATTACTTCATGCACTGTCACTATGCCAGCACGTTGCACGGACATCCCAGTTTAGCTGTATGATAGCTGCCATCGGGATTATCTCTACAAGTAACAAGAAACAAGTAACAAGTAAAACAGTTCTATAATCCCAGTAACCATGGTTATTGGGAAAATAGTTCAGTCTCCATGGTTACCCCATAGGTTTACATGTTAAAAAATGGTCTGAGCGATCGAGGATACCGTACGTGTGCGAAGAATTGGTCGGTAATTTCAATACAATTGAATCTCGATCGATCTTACCGACAATTTTATCTTGCATTGTTGACATGAAGACGAAAATAAACTTCCAAAAACAAAAAAACAACATCTGCCGATAGATCTTGATCTAAATTCGTGCCAATATGCATTATGCAATATGCAATATGCACCACGCGAAGCCGTTTTCAATCCATTTTAATGTATATATAAGAAAAAAACTGCTATGTATGGTAACAGAGCGCGATAAACGAGCGGTTTAAGGCGGTGATTTTAGTTGCATCACCTTTTGTACGCAAGAGATCAAATCCCATCTTCGACGAAAGCTTTTTTTTTTTTTTTTCGGCATATAAAAGTATTAATGACTGCTTTTATATTCGAGAAAAAGTTGTTTTTATATGCTCTCGGGAAGGTTACAATTGGGCTATTGCCCTCGGCACGCCTCGGGTAATAGCACAATTCTAACCTTACCTTGAGCGTATAAAAACAACTATTTCTCTCAAAGCAGTCATTAATACTATATTATTATATAATTATTATAATCATTATTATTACTACTACTACTACTATTATAATTATCATTATCACTGTTATTTTTGGTTTACATTATTATTATTATTATTCAAAATCGTCATCATTATGATTATTTACCTCCAAGGAAAACAGACAAAAAACAAATAATAAAACCAGGAAGTCATTATTTCGCTTACAAATAGTCTTTCCGTCATTGAGAGAAAGATTAAATTATTTCATTGCCTAATATGGTAGCGTGACCATGAACGGAAACGGTTACTTCTATGTTAAGATAAGACAGGGTGATGAAGCAAATTTTTCATTTGAAACTGAAAGAGGAAAGTTAATGTCAACAAGCCCAGAGAACAAAACAGAAGGCTCCTAGTTTGCCTTAGGTCATTTCGGCGCGAGACACTGCAACATTCATTTCTTCTCCAGTCTATGTACATGCATTTTGAAATACAATCATAAATGAATAGCATCTGTTACTGACATCAACTCCCATCACTTTGTTGATTTAATATGAAGTTCGCCTCCGAGGAGACAGTGTTCGTTACTATCGCCATTGCAGCCATCGTGTCTTTACAAGGGGGTAAGAATTCTTAGAAATCTATCCATGTTCTTTTATAAATGTAATGCTTCCTGGGAGAAATTTCAAATTGGGTATTTCTTTCTAGTTCATCGTGACTGTGCCATGGACCAGTGATGGCCTGGTAGTGGAGTCGCTGCCCGGTAAGCAGTAGATGCAGGTTCAAGTCCCGCTGGTTCCAAGATTTTTTCTGACTTGTTTTTCAATACAGATCGATCAATCGATCTTATTTACTGGTTGTAAGCCACAAATATGTTTAAATAATATCCATGTTCGTCATAACACGTCACCCCTTTTTGTTCTGATAAAAAAATCTTATTGCTTAGTTTAATTTAATTGTTGTGTTAAAAAGGGGGAAATCACTTCCGGTTTATCCTACCTTTGGGTGCTGTGAATTATATCTGCTGTTTCAACATTCCGCTGTGTCAGGTATTAAAATAGGAATGCTCGGGATATCAGCCGTCTTATCATTTCTAAACTGTCACTTTCATATCTTAATACAGTAACAAGTCAGCAAGAATGGCACCGACTGGATGACGCAGTCTATCTAGTGGATAGCACCACCGCAGTGAAAGGGTATGATCAGGCGCAGGCTGTCTGTCAAGGTTACGGAGCGAATTTAGCAAGGGTTGACTCAGATGAGATCCAGGTATAAAAAAGATTCAAATAATGGTCAGATGTTAATCACAATTACTTATTTAACTTGTAATGTGATAGATATACAACTTTAACTTAGGCTAAGTTCTGTTTAAATGTGTTGTAATTACAAATCCACCGTTGTTGACCGTTGTGAGGGTGGTAATTATAGTAAAAATGAATGAATGCAAAATAAACAGTGCACTGATAATAAATGATTTGTTCCTGGCGCATGCGATAATATCTATTACATGCAAGGGTTGCGCATTATTGATTGCATCACCTACGCTAATAGAGCCTACGAGGGCAGTTAGTGTATGGGCGAGTAATATAATGCAATCTGTGCACGATTTACTTCTCGAACGTCACTGTCACAGCAATGACGCATCGTGTCCAAGGGGTAATATTCATTTAATCGAAAAATGTCCGATTCTTTAAAAAAAATCATTGCACATATAATGTTGTGTACGATTCTTCATTCGAGTGATGTCACGTATAGAGAGATGTGGAGAAGGTTTCACTTTCTAATCAATATCATCTTACGCTCAGTCTATATAACTTTTCTTTGTGATTTCTATTCCGGATAATTGGTTTTAGAAGTAGGAAGTGCGTTTTATATTTTGTATTTGTCAATATCAATGCAGGCTTTCTTGACGACTTTCATTACTCCGGCCTTACAAAATAGCCGGTGCTTTTGGATTGGTTGCAGCAGGGACAGAGAGGGTCAATTTAGATGGCTTGACGGCACACCAGTGATGTAAGTACTTTAATCACGATATCGGCAATAAAATAAGTGCATTTCTTTGATTAATCTTATAGGACTTAACTCATGCCGTTTGACAGTTAGTTGTTATTGGACGTTAGAACTTCATGTGTAACGAGGAAGTTTGTCAGAATTTATGAGGAATGCACGTTTCTAGATTTATCTTAATTAAAATACCATGCAAACATAAAACGTTCTTGAGACGTTCACAAAACTTTCCAATGTCGTTAAAATGGTTATGATTTTAATGTTATTTATGTCCTATAAATGATTAGTTAACCGGCATTACTTGTAGGAGTGAATAGTCTGCAGTCCGAATAATAGTATTTGCTCACCTTCAAGCCCGGGTATTTCATTGTTATTGCAAGTGTCCTGCATTTCATTTTTGTTTTGTTTCTAATTAGATATGATGGTTGGGGACAAGGTGAACCAAACAATAATGATGGATTTCAAAATTGTGCTTGCATCAGGTCGGTCAGAGAGACTAGAAAGCATGGAAAATGGGACGATGACTTCTGTACATTGGACAGAAACTTCATTTGCCAGAAAGGAATTTGTGAGTCAAATCACAGTTATCAATAGGCCTATGTGTCTTCAAATGGCACTCTAGTATTATATCCACTGCACACAAGGCGGCATTAATTTTACCTGACGTAGGACTGTGTCAACGAATGCGGTGCGGTCTTTGATGAGCAGTGTGAGAATGGCGTCGCGCAGAGAATGGCTGCTAAATTAACAGTGCAGTATTATATGGCGCATGGGCTAACTACTTAATTCACTGACATGATTAGAGCGCAGTACTAGGTAAAACACCCCTTCACGGTTAAGGCCACCATTTTCATTTGCGATTAAAAATTTGCGTAAGCATTGCCTCATCAATGTTTTCAGACGCGCATGCATGTATTATTGCGTCACTGCCTGCGCTGCGCGCTCACATCATGTCGACACATGTGATGTGCATGCTGCATAAAATCAAAGTTACTCGCAATTCATATTTCTCTGGTTGTCTCATTTTCGCTCGTTGGAACATTGCCAGCACAAACCACTGACCTCTACCTCCTAGACGGGTCATCGCCCATTCCCATTCAGTATACGTTACGTACTAAAAGGCTGTAACGTCTGACCGTTCATGAATATTCATGTTATTGCTTACCTCGGCAAAATGTTTGCTTGTACTAAATGGAAAAATGACGGTGGGGGTTGGATGAAATGGACATAATGAACCAAGCAGAAGTGATCTATGATAATTCATGCTTCTTATCCTTTGTGTGCTTGACCTATAATCTTAAAATCACTCGGCAAATTGAGTCCAAATTAAGTTCGACTTGTTTCACTTGTGTATTATAGGCAATGACGAGCTTGCAACCTATTTTGATCAAATTAAGGTGGGTGAACTTTCAAAAGTCAATGGGACATGAGGGTTCCAATAAAAGAGCTAGTGATAACGTACGTCGGGGTGCATGTGCTTTTCGTTTATTCAAAAAATGAATTTTTAACGATTTTGGGGGTAAAGTTCCATAGGCTAACATGTTAGGCTGCTGACTCTGACGATAGGGGGCGTTGTGAAATGAGACTAAACGGAGCTATATGTTAAAATGGTGCCCATATCGGCGCATGCGCACTCTTGTAACCGTGAAAGGGTGTATTGACGCAATCACAATTTCTTCTCGTGTGCAGCGGGCTTTACATTTGAAAATCATTTCAACATCAAATTAATGTATTTATAAACATTTTATCATTTGCTCTCATATATGTTGCTAGATTTGGTATATATTGTTCCTAAAAGACCAACGCCATTTTATCATTTACTGTCATATAGGCCTATCTTGCTAGATTTGGTATTTTGTTGTTTTAAAAAGACAAATGCCTTTCTACCACACTCATTCTTTCTTGCATCACAGATAATTTCCATCTCGTGATCCCTCGAACTTATCCCGGTTTCGCTAATGTATACTGCGCCATCAACGTCGAAATCGAAGGAGAAACAACACTGTCTCCAGATGACGTCACGCTATCCATCGGTCAAACTCTTTCGTCATCGAAACCGATTTCTAGCTCATCGACGAGTCTTGACGGTGAATTCCGTAATAAAAGTTTTCTTCTTGACAATGTGAACGAAGACGACCAAATCTTCTGCTACGTAGGTGAACTGCCGGACAAAAATAGATCCTTTTCACTGGCTACTATTTCTGCTGTCTTTGATTTTTACGGTAATATTATTTTTGTTCCAAACGATTCTCACCATATTTAAACTGATTGAGCAATATTGCATGTTATAGTTTACGATGAAATAATTCGTACCCTTAAAATTCCTTTTAAAATATCGAATTATCCCGAATTATGTGTCTTGAGAATGTGACAAATTAAAGCTTACATCAAAAATTATTCAACCTAATCCCTCTTTTGTTCTTGAGTTACGAAAAACACAAAAATCATCAAAATCATCAAATTTAAAAGGTATACGCACAATTCAGTTGTTCACTGTATGCAGTGTATAACAACATACATAATGCCCATGCAAGGACATTATCCAGAAAACCTATTTAAGAAAGCAACGTACTTGGAGCTTTAACATGTCAATTTAAAGTAGGCTCTAAGAGATTACAGATTAAGATGGAGTTTTGTCAGTTGTTTTATTTGTTTGTTTCTCTTGGGTTTTTTCTTCTTCATAACATAAAGGTAATTTACAGATAAACCACTTATTAACGGGACAGCTTTATCATTTCCAGCTTTACCAGAGCTACCATCCGGCCCAACAGTCGGAGAGATCAGGTCGTCATCAGTCACTGTCTTCTGGAGCTCTTGGATACCTTGTCTGGACTTCGGCGACGGGCCAGTTGTTGGTTACCTTATCTATCAGCAAACTATGGAAGACGAATGGATAGGGGTTGGTAAAATCGACTTGGATGTGGGAGAGGGCGATCTTCAACGAATAATGGAGTTTGTATTGACTGACTTGGAACCAGGAACAGAATACAATATCAGTGTGTCTGCCGTCAGAGAAGGTCCCGGCGGAGAAGGACCAAGAAGTCCACTTGTGACTGTTACGACTCCTACCCTCGGTGAGTGGTGATTGGACCAATTTTAATGATGATTTCGGTAAACTGAAACATCCAACCATGAACCATCAGCTAAAAACGCATTAGTCTTAGCCTCAAAAGTCCTATATCGGTTGGTGGCTTTGGCGGTCGGTCCTGCGTCCAATTGACATTAGCCATTAATCTTATCCCGACTCTTACCCTTACACTATTACCCCTACAACCCCCCCCCCCCCCTCTCCGCTGCACTGAACGAGGAGCCGGAGCGGGGAGGCGGGCTGGTGTGACTTTATAATAATTTCGTCGCCTAAAAAATGCTGGTTCCTTATTGACTACGATGTCGCAATGCTCCTATAATTACCCTCGCCCTTATGATAATCATGGAATTGTCCTTAATCATTGTACAGAACTTCTTAATCAGGTCCAAGCACTACCCTACAAACCAATTATGCGCAGCCTAGGACCAAGGGAACCAAAAGGACATAGGGCCAGTGATATCAAAATATTAATGTCGCTATAAACATTTATAGCATTCTTTGTTGTAGCAATAGGTCTATTCTGCAATTGGCAAAGAACTGACAAAGTTTGGTAATTAATGCTTATCTTTTCAATGTTACAGAGTGTCAGCACCTGAGGAAAACTAGTGCTGTTTGGATGGCTTTATTCGTGATATCGTTCTCGGGGATCATCATACTTCTTGTGATTGTAGGGTAAGAATAAAAACTATTTAAATTTCTTGCATAAGTGTAATGCCCTTTTCGAAAACGTTTTAAATGCAGAATGTAGATTTGCAATATTAATGTTGGTTTTTACGGTTCTTAGTCCGGCAGCCACTGAGCTACACCTCGTTTTGTTGAAAATAAGTTTTTACTACTCCCGGACGACTAGCCCCAGAAAACTACCCCCAAGGATAACAACCCCCCGGACAACTACCTCCCCCCCCCAGAAAACTACCCCTACGACAACCATCCTCTAGGACAATCCCCCGGACAACTATCCTAGGGGGTAGTTGTCTGGGGGTAGTTGTCCGATGCTAGTTGTCAGGGGGTAGCTGTCCAGGGGTAGTTGTCCTAGAGGGTGGTTATCTTAGTGGTGGTTATCAGGGGGTGGTTGTGCAGGGGTAGTTGGCCGGACACGGTTTTTTACGTACCAGGTAAATAACACCCCGAAAAACTACCCACCCCACCCCTTCAAGGACGATAAGTCCCTGGCAAATTACCCCCCCCCCCCCCACCCGAAAGATTACCCCAAGGACATTCTACCCCTCCCCCTTCCCCCCAGGACAATTAACGTCCTGAAAATTACCCCCAGGAAAATTACCCCTTTGGACAATTACCCCCCCCCTCAAAATTATCCTATATATATAGGACAAATACGTCCCCCAAAGAGAACCAAGGACAACCACCCCCGAGGAAAAATACCCGCGGTTCATTGAAGGGGACTTCCACCCTGATAATAAGTTGGTTTTAATGAAAGCAGAATTATATTTTTCGAGGGGTAATTGTCACCGGGGGGGGGGGGGGTGATTCTCCAAGGGGGTAATTTTAAGGGGGTGGTAATTATCCCTCGGGAGGATAGTTGTCCACGGGGGGGGGGGGGTGTATTTGTCGTAGGGGTGATTTTCCGAGGGGGGGGGGAAGTAATTGTCCTCGGGGTAATGAAAGCAGAATTTTGTTTTGAGGAGTAATTGTCACGGGGGGGGGGGGTATTTGTCGTAGGGATGATTACCCAGGGGGTAATTGTCCTAGAACTTATTTTTGAAATTTCTAATTCCTAATTATAAGTAGTTTATACAACATAGCTGCCTGAAATCTATTCCTCTTGTACATCTTAGTATAAGTACTGTTAGATCGCAAAGTAGGCCTACCAATATATGTCCATATAACATAAACAAGGAATTCTCATAATTCTGTCCCCAATACCTAAACTAAAAGAAAAAAATGATCAACATTCTAAATATACTTTGCCCCAGTAACCATCTTTCAGTCGACCCAAAAACATTTCTTTTAGTCTTTAATAATTTACTGGTCTCTGTCATGACTGTTTAGTGGGACATTTTAAAAGAATACCTTTGTATTCTGTTTTGTCGGACAGAAATTTACAAGGCCATTAGGCAATTGCCTGATTAATATGCTACGTAGGTTAATTATGCTAGTAACGCTAATTATTTTAAGTTTCAACCTGACTGACTTCTGAGATGGATATTGGTTGTCATTTAATTTTAAAAAAATACTCTTTGAAATTATCACCCCAGATTTTTTCTGGCTAGACTAGACCTATCTCAATTAATTCAAGTATTCAAATTTATTAATTATGTTAATTAGGCTAATTATAATACATATACATGGAATATTTCTCATGAATTGATGTGTTGTCTTTAAAATGTGATTTACAATGTTGCATTGCACCATTTTCAGGCTTGTCAGATAAACAATGACAATGAACTCCATTATATTGTACATATGCTAATTAGCTCATTATGCTAATTATGATGTTGAAGACAATTGCATTACTAAAAAATAAAAACTGGTGGCATAAATGAATTCTTCGTCATAGGAAACCCTTAAAAAGTAATATTATCCATGTTTTAAGGCTTCCTGGATTAATATTAGCAACATATTCCATATTGCACATATGCTAGTTAGATGATTGTGCTTATTACGCTATTTAAGACAATTTCATTACTTTAAAATAAAAATCAATGTCGTAAATGAATTCTTTGTCATAAAAAAACCTTTGAAAAGTCGCATTACCCACATTTTCAGACACCCTGTATTAAGATTAGCAACATATTACATAATTATTGAACATATGCTAATTGGATGATTATGCTAATAAAAAAAGTTGCCCAAGGTTGCCAAGGTGGCAACGAAGCTGATGTAATTCAATACCCATCTAGAACAAGAATCAACAAAAGAACTTGTACTTGGCAACTTTTCTAGGTCTGAAAAAATTCTACCGGACTAAAATAGCATTTTTTAGGTAAAAGAGTAACAAAAATCATGTTAATCTCATCCTGTATATTATTAATCTGAATATCTGCATATATAATTTTGAGGTAAAATACCATCTATTTTCTTATACCTCTATCTTTACACTTATTTTATTAATAGTGATAGTAATATTGCTGGTGATGACGAAGATGATGATGATAACGATAACAATGATTAATCACTATTTCTGTCTGTCATTTCTAAATCAACCATGCAGCAAGCGGAAGCAGAAGGCGGACCAGACTCGTGTACGTTTTGACCCAGAAGGAGCAGGCGATCCAAAGAGCCCTGATTACGAGCTGCCTCCACAGAGTGTAGTCAGGCAACATGCCTACCAGGGCCTCAGAAGATCAAGGATCAGCGACAGCATAGAAGTGGATTACGATGACACCGCTGATCCAGAGAAATTGTAATGTCATCTGGAGTTCGAAAGTAGTTATTAAGTCTGCACTGGAGGCGTCATGTATTGAGTTAGGACTGCGTCAACGACACGCATGACCTTTGACACGCAATAAGTGACTTTGCACAAGGAATGGATGTAGAGCTAGTATCACATTGGGCGTAACAGCTTGCAACTTGTTTTAGACACAACATTTAGAGAAAATACTAGAATTAGCGACAATTTTCACTTGGAATCGCACTAAATTGGTACGTACGACACATTTGTGTATGTCGCGCGAACTCCCGACAACATTTGGGTACAAAATTTGCCTGGAGTTTTCAAACTATATGCTTTAAATATGGTTTAAAGTACATTGCACTGGGTGTGTGTGTGTGTGTGTGTGTGTGTGTATGTGAGTAAATATGGCTGAGTGTGTTTGCAAGATATTTGTAATTGTTTTGTATAAGTATGAATATAAATATATTTGTATATATTTGTATATAATTGTATGTTAATGGGCCCCTTTTACAAACTCTGCTTCTCAGCCATGCACTACGTCTTTCGTCTTCTTTGTTGTTAGGGCAGACAGCCAGTGGAACGGATTCGTTTAATACAATTATGGAAATACAAGCATTACTTTAAACAAACAGAACTTTGGTATTTCCGGCTCATTTTTCCTGATTGAGGTGTCATATAAAAGGGCAGAAATTTACTTTTGTAGAAATGTGATTTTGTCTTCGAAATTCAGACACCGTTCGCCAAATGACTTTTTGGTACCCTCTCTTTATATTGCTTTTTATCAGTCATACGTGAAATATGCATCATATAAGTTGCATCAAATGAAAGAGGATCTAAGCTTTACAAAATATGTGTCATTTATTAATCATAATTGAGATTAAGTTTTGATAGAACATGGATAATTCTCGGTTTCATCGTGTATCCCCCCCTTCCCGGCTGCTATCGACTCAAGCATTCATGCTTATGATAGTTGGCCTCTGCATTTATCCTGATTCTTTGACTTGCCTCCATACTTTCAAGTTTTCAATTATATGTAAGCATTTTGGGGGGTATATTTCATTCGTCACTTTTTATGTTATTCAATTATATTACATACTGTTATTGTTACTTGAATATTTTGTATTTGATTTTTCGATTAATGCGGAAACATCTGATAAAAAAAATGTATCATGGTTTAAATTGACTTGTGTGTGCGTGTGTGGGTGTGTGTGTGAGTGTGAATGTGATATTTTGTTTAGGAGTTGGGATGTTAGGTATGCGGTTAGATGTATGGGTGGGTGCTGTTCTGTGAATGGAGTATTTGTACAGTGTTCTATATGATGAGTAGATAAGTGTTGTGTTTGGTGTAATGGTAGTCACGGTCTTTGGTGTGGTCTTGTGAGTAAGAATAATTGGCTGGAGTTCCAGTGTTGTGCGCGTGTGTATCCGTGTATGTTTTGTAAGGTGCGAGTAAATGTGAATGTTTACGGGGGGGGGGGTAAGTAGTAGAAGGGGTGGAGGGATGGCGTGCTTAGGGTGGATTGTATACAAATATGTATACTTATTTTATTTCAAGTTTCATGAATGATGGTAATTCAGTTCAGTATGTGATTATTATTATTAGAACAATTTAGTGATATTATTCCATTATTCTCCTTCTTTGCTCACTGTTTTATGAATAATTTATTTATGTTATGAAAACGGAATGAAGATCTATATTTGTATGGAATTATTTACATTGATTTTTATGATTTATTTTGAATGAAATCTCTAATAAAAAAAAATATTGAAGAAAAAAGTGTGTGTAATTTTTGTACATGTAATTATATCGTTATGTTTTTTATCGGGTAGGTGGGACGCGGTCTTTATTAGGCCTACAAAAAAGTTTTTACATTGCCCTTTAAAGGTACTTTAAATGTCCCATTTGCAGGCCAAACAAATGAAAAGGTTAAATTTCAACTGCATTTGAAAGATAATACTAATTTAGAACTTCCCTAAAAAAGGTGGGGCTTGAAAATGTCTTCAAGTGGGAAAATAACGACTATTAGTTGTCAAATCGACTTTAGGGCTATAGAGCCCAAAAGTAATAGTCTTGATTTTCAGACAATTGTACCGAATAGTCATACGTTTTATGCTGCGCAAAGATTCAATCAGTTTAATCTTGGCCATCACAAGAAGTGGGTTATTAATGTAGACAAACGCTCATGTACCCTTTACAACTCTTTTCATGTATGTTATTACCAAAGAAGAAAAAAAAGCCAGTCAGTCACTCAATAGTGTCTGACAGTGAAGTCTAGCAAGTAAACGGGTTTCCTTGCATAATTTGGATATGAAGACACTGCTAACGTTTAAATTTCACAGATAGGACATACATGCGTATTCATAATTCCTGCAAAGTTCTACAGAATTTGAGGTTGGCTGCAAAAGGGACATAGTATCTTTAAGTTCTATAACATGGGTCGGTCGGTAATCTTTTTTTTCTCCCTCTTTGGGCTGATTATTTACAGTTTTGTATTGAATTAAACTTTTTTTCTTCAAAAAACGGTTTAAAAAAAGTACTTTCTTAAAAAGCCGATAGTAGATTTCAAGATATTTGGGTCGGTTGCAAAGGGCAATACATCTTTTTTGTTTAGGCCTTATTATAATGAAGCGAAGACATCTACGCAAAGTTTTTCGGAATATAATTAAATCGGAAAAATTTGGAGAAATTCTTCATTCCAATGATATTACCTTGTGAGGAGGGGGCAGGACAACAATTTTGTTATGTGGACTAAGAGGTGTAGCGGGGGGGGGGGGGGGAGGCCTCATTTTCACCCCCCCCCCCGAAAACAATTAGCAGTTCAGGAGTAAAAATGTTTTTATTTTTAACCAAAGAGAAAATAAAAAATAAAACCTGAATTGAATCACATAAAAATGACATTCCATTCAAAGAAAAGGAGAGTAAACAGGAATTAAATTTCCTTACTATTCTACATGCCCCTATATTTATCAATGAAGGATTTTTATAATAGCGATACGCGCATATCGTGGAAATATTGTGAGAGGATGGGAAAGCGTGTGTGTTTGGTATTATAGGGGTGAGAAGACATTAGCCCCTGAACACTGGTGTACTGATAGGGGGAGGGCAGATGTCCCCAAATATAATTCAAACGTGGTTTACTTCTAAATCGATACCAGTTATTTACAAATGTTGCTGAAATGACATGATTTTCCGGGACTTTTCCTCAATTGTTTTGGTAAAATATTCTTCTGTATGCGTTTGTTGAAAAATGAACAATCCCTAATTTAAAGTCAAGGCTAAAAATATGCTCATTTAAAAGCCTTCGTGTTAAGGCCTGCAGAACGGTGGGGCTCGGGGGTTCGAGCCCCCCTCACTTTTTTTGAAAAAAGTATGTTAAAGATAAAATCAATGAAAGAGAGAAAGATGAGTGACCTGCCAGTGTTACAAAATGAGGTATCGAAATATGCTCATCTGACCGTTATCAAATGCCTAAAACCCCCGAGCTAACGGGGAACACCGCCCCCTGGATCTCACCAAGGACCCTAAGGCGGCCCCCTGGATGCTCATCTGACCGTAACTAAATACCTAAACAGCTGAGCTTCCGGGGGCTCTACCCCCTAAACCCAACCAATTAAGGGCCCTAAGACGGGCTCCTGAATGATCATCTGTCCACACTTAAATGCCTTAAACCCTTAAGCTTCATGGGTCTCAGCCCCCTGGACCCACGCCAATAACTGACCTGCCAGTGTCACAAATACGGTTTCTAAATATGCTTATCTGACCGCAATGTACACACCAAGAAATAGGGGTACATTTGGAGTGCAGATCGCTGCTACAATAGAAGCCACCTATAGGTGCAAGTCTGCAATACGTGGCTGCTATTGTAGAAGCGGTCTGCACCCCTAAAGGTGCTCGTTTTGCACCCCTAAGGGTGCAAGTCTGCACAATTGCACCCTATAGGTGGCTGCTATTGTAGAAGCGGTCTGCACCCTATAGGGTGCAAATTTGTACCTTTATTTTTTAGTGTGATAATGCCCAAAACCCCTGAACCCACGCCAATTTAATTAATGCTCCAATCGCTTCGCTACCTGATCGTTAAAACTCCCATTTTGAAAAAAGTTTCGCGGGGCCTGCATGTAACATGTAAGAGTGGTGGTGTTGCAGATTTTTTTTCTGCGCCCCCCCCCCCCAAAAAAAAAACGCTTTTGCTCATTACGCCACTGCCCCTGAAAGGTGAGCCGCCTGAAATATCCCCCCCCCCTCCAAAAACTGAAACAACCTTATACTGCTTCCGGCAAGCTTGGGTGTCGCGTGGTCTAGTGTATACACATCGGACTTATAGTTGGCGGTTCGCAACACCCGACGAATGTGAGGAAAATGGCTACCTGGCATGAATTAATTCCTTTAAACGTTAGAGCACAATTATGGCAGCCGTACTAAGCCGGGGCAGTATTGTGGAGCGCCAGGAGTGTCAAGTCTGACAAACATAAGCGCTACACAAGAACTCACTGTAATAGTTGGTTGCTCCCTGATATCCCCCCCAAAAAAAAACAAAAAAAACAAAAAAAAACAACAACAACAACAACAACAATATTTCTGAATTATCCACATATAAGATACTATCACGTTGGTGAATTTCAAACAATGTAACGGTAGGAATTGATCTAATTCGAATAACTCTGCATTCATGAGGTAACAGATAATCCCGACCTCTACAATATATTCACTTAGCCTATAGTTATACATAACTTCCAACGCCAATCTGAAAGGAAAAAATAACACATTCCCACACCAAAATCAGTATTGACAAACATGTACATGTAGTATTAGCCGGTCAAACGCGATTTCACTGTGAACATAAAAAAGTCATGGCTAGGCCATCTAATAGTCTACTTCAAAAACATGAGCTAAATCTTTCTTGTATCTTCAATACTGAAAAGACGGAAGTACAGAAACCCTCTCCTTCCGACTTGAATTAATATTACCAACTGACAGTAATAATATGAAAATGAAAGGGATATCTGGCACCTCATGTGAATACAATGGTGGTAGAGCCTACAACCAACAAACTTTGATGTTACTATGCTCTCACAACCTCAATTCAATTTCAACAAATAGTATTGACTTTAAAATTTCTGCAAAAATGCCAGTTGATTAAATAGCTTATAAGGACCTCTGTGGTGTTACTAACATCATATTTTGAGTAAGTATAACTGATATCTAAAATGAATTATGATTAAAAATTTTTTTTTTTTTTTTAAATAAATGAAACCGAACTTTTTCAGCTGGTCTTTTGTTAGCATTCCCTTTCTTCTTGTCGATTACAAGCCAAATGTAGAATAGGCTAAGAAGAACCATACATTCCTCATCTTGTTTGCCATATTTTCGAAAACTATTGCAGGTTTTCAAATACAGATATCGCTGAAAATTATGAGACCGAACCTGACAGAAAATCTTTAAACATAGGATTTTCCGGCCAAATTCGCGAGTTTGTCATTTTAAGTTAATTTGTCTTGCGTTCAAATTCGACGGTTTTAGTGCTGTCAGATATATCTTGGGTTTATATTCCTTTTTCTAGTTTTCAAATCTATGAAGTTTTCGTTAGAATCTATGTATGTTTCATTCAAATTAATGAATAGTTTGCTTCTTGTTATTTGGACATTTGAGTTGGCGCTACACGTTTTCTGGAATATACATTTCTCGTTTATTACACACTTTTTATAGCTCATTCTCTTTCTTTCAAGATTGTTTTTTGCATGTGTATTTCATCATATTCTATTTTCTTGCATTTATACACTTCATATACACTGTTGGTCATAATGGTGGAATATTTATTGTTACCCCAGTTTAGGGAAGGATTTTTAAAAATTATTTATTTCTAATAGATCTAGATAATGGCATACATTCTCACATTTTATTGAATATTAATTTGCGAGTGTTTGTTTTGCGTGACTGCTTAATCATATGTGTGCTACTATGCTAATCAGCTGGGACCTACGTCCTTAAGTCATAATTGACAGTAATAAGGATTAATGCCTCACAAAAGAGCACTAATATATAGCTGATTGACACGATTTTTATCCTGGGGCCTCACAGTAACAAGGCCATTGCTTAGCCCCTGAATCATGACTGTACGCAGTGTTTGCCAGGGTACGCGGCCCCTTCCACAAATCCCCCAAAACGAAGAAAATGCAATAAATTATCAATAATTCATTGCATTTCCCCCCGGCCCCCAACAGGAAAAATTCCTCTGTAGGGCCATGCATTATGGTTCAAGGCATGGCCACAAAGAGGAATTTTTTCTGTTGGGGGCCGGGGGGGAAATGCAATGTATTATTGATAATTTATTGCATTTTCTTCGTTTTGGGGGATTTGTGGAAGGGGCCGCGTACCCTAGCAAACACTGCGTACAGTCATGATTCAGGGGCTAAGCAATGGCCTCATTACTGTGAGGCCCCAGGATAAAAATCGTGTCGATCAGCTATATTAGTGCCCCTTTTTGAGGCATTAATCCTCATTACTGTCAATTATGATTTAAGGACGTAGGTTCCCTAGCTGATTAGCATAGGAGCACACATATGATTTAGGAGTCACGCAGAACAAACACTCGCAAATTAATATTCAATAAAATCTGAGAATGTATGCCATTATCTAGATCTATTAGAAATAAATAATTTTTTTAAATCCTTCCCTTAACTGGGGTAAAAATAATTATTCCACCATTATGACCAACAGTGTACTTTTAGATTTATGTGATATTCATCAGCATTTAAGTTTGATTGTTAAGAAGAAAAAAAGACTTACATCGACGGACTTAATGTTCTCAATATTTTTGTAAATTTTCATGTAAGGAAGTTGTTTGTCTTCTGTTTAATCATAAATTTATCACAATTTCATTATGGAAGAAGGGTACAATATTGCGACTGGGGTAGGTATTTTTGTATCTCCACTTTTCCGGGGTATATGAACATGTTCATGTACGTGCAGAAATGCCATATCCCTTGATTTCGCCCCTTCTTTACCAAATGTCTTACTACACCCATATGCATTGTCCTCAAAATTAATAAATGGAATAACAGAAAATACCCTAATGGCAAAGCATGCATTTAATTGCATTTTTTTAAAACTGTAAACGTGTGTTGCATTTCTTCCCTTAACATTCCTAACTTGAATAAACATTATTCGAATACGAATGACAGGTGTTAATTTGAATGATAAAAATGATGCCTCGACAAGTGACGATTAATTTGAATGCTAGTTAAGCAGTTTCTAAATTAAATGACAGATCTATGAAACCCTTTTAGTGCGGTATGGTATGTAATCCCGTAGGATTTTTGTGCCAAAGTGGATTTTTCTTCTGTTTTGGCTTCAAAAGGGCCCCAATTGACCAAAAAATGATGGGGTTCAGTATTTCAGACCCCTCCTTCATTTCCTGGGGGTCCATATTGGGCGCCAAAATAGCTTATATAAAGCGCAATAGGGAAATTTGGTGTCTTCCGGAAAATTTGAACCCCATCAATTTCTGATAGTTTGGACCCCAACCCAGCAAACACAAAACGTTTTTAAAACGTCTACAGAACGTTCATATTAGGTTCTGTACGTCTTCGTCCATATTAAACGTTTAAAAAACGTTTATATAACGTCTAAGTTGGGACCTTACATTCGCTGCGGAGCTAGGTCTTTTGAAGACGTTCAGAAAACGTTTTGTGGACGTTACAAATTAAACGTTCTTGGATAGGTCCTGTAAAACGTTTACAGAACGTTTTATTCAGACGTATTTTGTTGAATTTATTTTTAATGTCCAAATAAATATTTCTTAAAAAATACCAGCTGGCGAAATTAGGCCACATGCATACGCATGGGGGGGGGGGGGTCGAGGTATGCCAAACTAATGCACTCCTGTGGCGTAGCGATGGGGGGAGGCACGTGCCCCCCAATAATTTTGAGGGAAAAAAATAAAAAACATAAGGTGAAATTATTTGAAGAAAAGTAGTGACCCCTTCCCCTCACATATAACGTTTGTGCCCCTCGATCCCCCCCCCCAGCCCAATCAGTCCGACCGCGCTACGTCATTTATATGCTCCATTCAACCACGTACTGTATACAAAGTGCGTACGTACATGGTGGGGAGAGGGGGGTCAACTGCGGACGCACCGTATATAATCGTACCACTGTAGAGGTCAGTGAATCGTACCCGGCACGGCCGGTGCGCGCGGCGCTTGCATGCCGCGTGTTTTAAATTGACTGACGAGTTGACTGCTTGATGACGTGACTTCGAGATTTCAAATAATCTGTTAGACTGCGACACCGAGGTAAGCGTTACTTTAACATTTTGATATCTGTAAGGAATTTAAGCTTTGTTTGATTGATTTTGAAGCATGTAAAATGAAATAAAATATTGATTATTTGCATTAAAACTAAAAGTACGGTAGACTCTATGTCGCATGTGCAGGCCGTTGAAACTCTCATTGCATTGACTGGTACCGTATGGTAATTGGGTAGGCTAGGCTATGTGCACACATAACTCCAGGAAGCTCCGATGCCGAACGGCGTCGGAGCTTCTTGGAGTTATACATAGCTGCATTACTATCCTGGCTGTGTATTAAAAGCTGTGCTATTGATACTCAACATTTCAAACACCACTGTACAAAACTCTTTCACTAAAAATCGGTACTTTAGTGACAATTGATGACACCTAAATAGCAGTAGGCCTAATAGAAATTTGTTCAACTTACCGATGTTATTTTATTAGAATTTAGAAAGAACAATTTAGAAATTCAAATTGTTTGTCTACTGTCAAACTTTGCTTACAGCCGCATCGGCATGATAAGTGCATTGTGTATTATGTGTGTATTGACTATTCCTTTTAAGCAAATGCTGCCCATTAACATGTAGTGCAGTGCTAGAGGTCAATACGCATAATAGCATCGACTCTTTGCTGGAGTGGGTATGTGCGCATGGCTCATTACATTACATGGTAATCGGATGATTAAAACAGTTGAGTTGTTAACTTTGCTGTCTGGAAAAATCATGGAAAGTTCCCATCGGGATTTAAAATGCTATTTCGTGAAGAAAATAAGTCCCTCGACTACCATCTCATTTCTTGACTTATTTACTCTTCCCTCAATAGCATTTAAAATCCCACGGGAGTGGAACATATTCCATGCTTTTCCCTCCACCACCATTTAGCAACTTTATATTATCCCACCCCCTATTACAACAGGTTTGTTTTTTAGGCAATTGAAATAGCTCCCAAACCACCTTTTTTGTATGGATTTTGTCTTTATAGAAATATCGAGACCTAGACCTAGATCTATATCTTGTTCTCAATTTCGTCCCTTTAAAAAAATTCTTTTTAGTTCAGATGACACATTATTTAAAGAAATTGATTTCCAATAACGTAGATTAACTTAAGGATTGATTTGTTTTTCATTTTTACATACAGGCAACTATGTGAAAGCGCAAAAACATCGCCAGGAAGGCAGAGGACACGTCAGATCTGGTACCGGAAGATGATGCTGTGTAGAAGCGAAAGAGACGTCTTCCCAGAGATTTAGCAAATCTTCAAGTGATTCCGGAAGTGACGCTGGTAAGTATTTGTCTCTTGATGGTTAGTAGTGCTTGGCTCGGCCAGAGACGTATAATCTTATTTCTCGTTTTCTTCAAAATCCAACAGATGATGAAAACCTAAGATAATTTATTTGGGATAGCTAGACCTGCTTTGTGTCCCAGCCATGCAAAATGATGATTAATAGATGTGGCACCATTCCGGCAAAACTGGAAATTAATTTGTAATCTAGGCATAAATTTCGGACAAGAAGTGTGCATTACCCAAAAGTTTGTTCAGTTTATGAGAATTCTTGTCATGTCTTGATATCCCTTTTAACATCTGCAATGTGTCTCTATTTTTCAGATCTTGAATCGGTTCGGACCCAAGAAAACAACATGTACGCGGAGGAACGACTAAGGCTGTGGCAGCGGAGATACCAATGCCGAAACTGAATGCAAAGTCCAAGTCCACATCGCATTTTTCAGTTCCAACCCACAACTCCAGCAAGGGCTCGGGCTTCGGAAAGTAAGTTTTTTTCAGATAGCATTTCACAAACAAAAGTTTCTGAGGTTTTTTTTTTATCAGAACATATACTGTAGAGCGTATAAACAAACAAAACAACATTTGCCATTTGTACTAAGTTGCTACACTAAAATACTGTTGGATTGGATAAGAGAGACAGATTATCTCGGCGTACATGTAATTTATTTTATCAACAAGGCATGGGTATAGTTTTCTTACAGAAGAGTCGCTTTTAAATCCTTACACTATGTATACTTTGTTGGAAGCGCTGCACAGGTGTTGTCTTTGAAGCTGGGTGATATATTCCTGAAGTGACTAAATTGGACAGCTATCAAACATATCTTGCCAAAATATCCTATTCATTTGCTGTCAAACTTTTTAATGACTTGAACTGTTATTATAATGCATTTTATGTATCTGTTTTTTTCTTCTCAGGCAATTGTCAAGTGCAGGTACTGTGTACGCTGCAGAGGCTGGAGGAAGGGCAGCAGCATCTGACGCAGTTGGTACAAAAACTGCTTTTGTCTAAATCGGGAGCGGCCGTTGATGTGGAAGACCTGAGGGAGCCGTTTACCGAACCAGTGAACACCAAATTTTCATTCAAGGTAGATTAAGATACCTTCATTCAGGGGCAATGCAAAAATCCTAAAACTCATATTGAAACCAAATTTGACCATTTCAGCTAATAATGGAGAAACTTTATCAGCGACATAACAGTTTTGTTGGTGCATCTTTTTGGATTGAATTGCCAACATCTTGTTGAGAATGCAAGACAAAGTTGTATAGGTCTGTAAATGTACTACTTTTTGTAAGGATGCTGAAACCAATGTGTGTGCTGCCAAACTCTCGACACTGTTTATTTATAACCTTGTCTTCTATATTCATAGACCCTTAAATTTGAGTATTCATATTTGCCTGTTAATAATTCATATCAACTCATTTCTATCAGTTTATTGTAAATAGCTTTTGGTAGATTGTTCATGTGTTTTGTGTTGATTTTATATTTGAAGTAAGATGCAAGGTCCAATGCAAGGCTTCTGGGAAATCTTGACCTGCCCACTAAATCTTTGGTCGATCAAAAGGACAATTTTTTTACACGGATTTAAGGGGAAATCTACCCTAGAAATTTCACTGCTTCAATCAAAGGAGACAAATTTGAACAAAATTAAAAATAAGAAATGGGCAAACTCAGTAAGGAAAACAAATTAAGGAAACTACTCTTTGTTTACATTTTCTAGTAAATTACTCTCGGCTATTCAATTTGACAATGCTGATGACATCTTGAGTAGCTCTAAATTCACTTTGTACACAAAATTTCACATTTTCTAACCCCCATAGTCAAAGCATGTTGTGTAGAAAGCTATTCGTCATCAGTAATCTGAACATACTCTGATTAAAAGCTGTGGAAATGTGTAACTTTAAGGAAAATTTTGTGTACAAAGTTGATGGATAGCTACTCACAGTTGATGTCATCAGTGTTGCCAATTTGTAGAGCTGAAACGAGTGTAGTTTCCATATATTTTTTTGCTGTACTTTTACTTGAAATGTGACTTCTTAAAATAGTCATATTTGTATCACTTGTAGAAGTTGATGAGAAAGTAAATACATCGTGTACTCTTTTGAATAGTTATAATTTGCACCGGATGATGAAGCTAATCCTGGGTGGAGGCACATAGCTAAATCGGTTATTCACATGTATTTAATGATAATTTGTGACATTTTGTTAAAAGGTTCTGGTGAATTTATTCACATTGATATAGTACACAAAGAAATTCTATGCACTATTTGGTTTTACCAAAGATCAAGACTTATTATAGAAAGATTTCTTAATCATTTGCTGGGGCATCTTTTTGGCATGAATTGCCAGGTTCTGTAAATAACTCAAATTGCTTTTATAAAGTGTGTTACCAAAGTTGCTATATGTGTGCTGCCAAATTCTTGACACTATTCATTTTTTATCTTGCCTTGTATATTTAGACCCGTGAATATATGAGTATTCATATTTGCCAGTTAATGAGGCATATCTTCAACTCATCTATCATTTTCTTATGTTTTATTTGTAGATTGTTCATGTGTTGACACTATTAATTTATATCTTGTCTTGTATATTCATAGAGACATAGACCCGTAAATATATGAGTATTCATATTTGCCAGTTAATGACATATCTTCAACTCATCTATCAGATTATTGTGTATTATTTGTATATTGTTCATGTGTTATGTATCTATAGTTTTAGAGGGATAGTTTAGTATTGGTCAAACTTAACTTTAAAACCAAAACCTGCACCATCACGGTGCAATGTAATAATCACAAACGGCCAAGTAAAACCCCTGTTAATATTAAAAATGACCCGTTACTTTCAGTTTCTGCATTTAATGTTTGTTACAATAATAATTAAATATCTATATAAATTGCTTTTTAAAGAACTATTCAGATTTATTTTCTTCAAAGTAGTCTTCAAGCATTTTTAATATTTTGAATAAAAATATATCTATGGATATTTCAGCCGTTTGTGAACCGATTTTGATAAAATAACAATTTATTCTTAATATTAGAATTGTATGTTCTTTCGGGGGCACTTCGGGAAATACCATTACTCTTTTTCAAATATACATGATGTACTGTATTGCCAAGCCTTTGTACATATTTTGTAAATATGTTTGATAATAAATTCATAAAATCAATCAAATACATGTGTGACCTAGCGTTTATTAAAAATTCACTGTATATTGGACGTTCTTAAAAGGTTTTCTGAACGTTCTTAAAACGTTTCCAGGACGTTCTAGACGTTCTTAAAAGGTTTACTGAATGTTTTAAAAACGTTTCCAGGACGTTCTAGACGTTCTTAAAAGGTTTTCTGAACGTTTCCAGGACGTTCTGGACGTTCTTAAAAGGTTTTCTGAACGTTCTCAAAACGTTTACAGTACATTCTAGACGTTCTTAAAAGGTTCTCTTGGACGTTCTAGACGTTCTTTAAACGTCCTGGAAACGTTCTAGACGTTCCTAAAAAGGTTTTCCGGACGTTTTTAAGGTTCTTAAAACGTTCTTAAAACGTCCCAAACGTCCGACAGGTTTTCTGCAGGTCCTTGCACTTAAAAGCAAATCTTTAAAAGGTTTTTTATTGGTTCTAAAAACGTTTAGAAAACGTTCAAAAAACGTCCATTTGGAACGTTCCAAAAAACGTTTTCAACCTACCACAAATAGACGTTTTTAGAACGTTTTCACAAAACGTTTAGAAAACCAATTTGGAACCTTTTTAGAACGTTCAGAAAACGTCCAATTGTTAGTTGGGAATGAATCCAAAAATGCAAAAAATCAACTTTAGCACAAAAGTCCTAAGGGAGCTGTTTCAGTGACATACCGTACCACACTATTCGACCAAAATTTTAAATTGAATACCAAAACGGGAAAATTCAATGATAATTGGCATGGCAAAGCCGATCTGCACTAACTTCAATGCAAAGTAAATGAATTCGAATGACAAACTCGCGAATTTCGCCGGGAAACCTATATATTTACAAACATTGGACATGAAAGTTTTCATCATAAGACCTAATACACGTACATACAATATACCAGCAAAATCAAACTGAAAGGAACTCAGTGGTAAACAGAAACAAAATTACAAACAAAAACAGGCTCTGTACATGTATGTACCATGATATCTGTTTGTTATGATGCACTATTTTACATATCGCGGACTACAATATGAATATAATAATCAAAGGTATCTGAAGTAACTATGAACATGAGCGTTAGTAGTAGACAACAATTGTTATATACCTCACTTAAGAAATCCAGCCATCTGATTGGTCGAATTGCATTCATAAACTTCAACTGTTCCTGTAAAATTCCCGGTAACCATGCATAAAACATTTAATATTTTTAATAACCATGGTTATTAAAAAAATAGGTCAGCCTCCATGGTTACCCCATAGGTTTACATGTTAAAAAATGGTTTGAGCGATCGAGGATACCGTATGTGTGCGAAGGATTGGTCGGTAATTTCAATACAATTGAATCTCGATCGATCTTACCGACAATTTTATCTTGCATTGTTGACATGAAGACGAAAATAAACTTCCAAAAACAAAAAAACAACATCTGCCGATAGATCTTGATCTAAGTTCGTGCCAATATGCATTGCAAAAGTAAAAGAAGGGTGCTTTTGCGAAGCATTCATCACGCCGAAGCCGGTTTCAATCCATTTTAATGTATATATTGTACAAAACTGCCAAGTATGTGAACAGCGCGCGATGGCCGAGTGGTGTAAGGCGTTGGTATAAGTTTCATCACTCATTGTACGCAAGAGTTCGACTCTCACCTTCGACAAAAAAAAAAGTATTTTTTATTTTTTATTTTTTAGTCAATTTTTTTTCGGCATATAAAAGTATTAATGACTGCTTTAATATTCGAGAAATAGTTGTTTTCATACGCTCTCGGGAAGGTTACAATTGTGCTATTCCCCTCGGCAAGCCTCGGGGAATAGCACAATTCTAACCTTCCCTTGAGCGTAATAAAACAACTATTTCTCTCAAAGCAGTCATTAATACTATATTAATATCTTACTCCTAGGATGATGTTCTTGTCTCATCCATGTTATTCATTTATTTTTTCATTATCTATCTGTTTATCAGTTCTTCTTAATTTTATCATTATATTTGTTGTTTTATTATTATTATTGTCATTATTGTTATCATTTAGAAAAACATACAGAAAACAAACTATAAAACCGGGAAGTTATTATTTCGCTTACAAATAGTCCTTCCATCTTTGAGAGAAATCGATTAAATTACTTCAAAGCCTCATAATTATGAAAGCATGAACATGAAAAGGAAACGATTGGTTTTATTCTAAAATAAGACAGGGTGATGTAGCAAATTTTTGATTTGAAACTGAAAGAGGAAAGTTAATGTCAACAAGCCCAGGAAACAAAACAGAAAGATTTTTTTAGGTCATTTCAGCGCGAGACACGTCAACGTTTATTTCTTCTCCAGTCTGTGTACATGTACATGCATTTTGAAATATAATCATAAATGAATAGCATCTCTTTCTGACACCAACTCCCATACTTCAAAGCCTCATAATTATGGAAGCATGACCATGAAAAGGAAACGATTGGTTTTATTCTAAAATAAGACAGGGTGATGTAGCAAATTTTTGATTTGAAACTGAAAGAGGAAAGTTAATGTCAACAAGCCCAGGAAACAAAACAGAAAGATTTTTTAAGTCATTTCAGCGCGAGACACGTCAACGTTTATTTCTTCTCCAGTCTATGTACATGTACATGCATTTTGAAATACAATCATAAATGAATAGCATCTCTTTCTGACACCAACTCCCATCTATTTGTTGATTTAATATGAAGTTCGCCTACCAGGAGACAGCGTTCGTTACTATCGCCATTGTAGCCATCTTGTTTTTACAAGGGGGTAAGAATACTTAGAAATATATCCATGTTCGTCATAAAAAACTCTTCGCTTTTTTTGTTCTGTTTAAAAAAATTCTTATTGCTTAGTTTAATTTAATTTTTGTGTTAAAAAGGGGGCAAATCACTTCCGGTTTATCCTACCTTGGGGGGGGGGGGGCTGTTAATTATATCTGCTGTTTCAACATTCCGCTGTGTCAGGTATTAAATTAGGAAAGCTCGGAGCAAGCAACCGCCTTATAATTTCGAAACTGTCACTTTCATATCTTAACAAGTCAGCCAGAATGGCACCGACTGGATGACGCAGTCTATCTAGTGGATAGCACCACCGCAGTGAGAGGGTACGATCAGGCGCAGGCTGTCTGTCAAGGTTACGGAGCGAATCTAGCAAGGGTTGACTCAGATGAGATCCAGGTATAAAAAAGATTCCAATAATGGTCAGATGTTAATCACAATTACTTATTTAACTTGTAATGTGATAGATATACAACTTTAACCTATCTTTTCAAATTGTAAATTGCAGTTGTGCGTCGGTCAATGGAGGTGCGCACCATATTTGTCTTTATTTAGTTGATTGCCACTGTTTTTCTTACCTTATCTATGTTACTTTTGTATTTTTGCTTTTTCTTCTAATTTAATTCTACGGGTTATAGTCTTCTCTTAATCAGAACACTGTGCGCTTAGAAACATCAGTATTAAGCGCCTAATAAATGTTATGTATTATTATTTATTATTATTTAACTTAGGCTAAGTTCTGTTTAAATGTGTTGTAATTACAAATCCACCGTTGTTGACCGTTGTGAGGGTGATAATTATAGTAAAAATGAATGAATGCAAAATAAACAGTGCACTGATAATAAATGATTTGTTCCTGGCGCATGAGATGATATCTATTACATGCGAGGATTGCTCTTATTGATTGCATCACCTACGCTAATAGAGCCTACGAGGGCAGTTAGTATATGGGCGAGTAATATAATGCAATCTGTGCACGATTTACTTCTCGAACGTCACTCTCACAGCAATGACGCATCGTGTCCAAGGGGTAATATTCATTTAATCGAAAAATGTCCGATTCTTTATAAAAAAAAACGATTCTAAATCATTGCCGTATAATGTTGTGTACGTTTCTCCATTCGTGTGATGTCACGTATAGAGAGATGTGGAGAATGTTTCACTTTGGTTAAAAATTTTCAAATCAATATCATCTGACGCTCAGTCCATAAAACTTTTCTTTGTGATTTCTATTCCGGATAATTGGTTTTAGAAGTAGGAAGTGAGTTTTATATTTTGTATTTGTCAATATCAATCCAGGCTTTCTTGACGACTTTCATTACTCCGGCCTTACAAAATAGCCGGTGCTTTTGGATTGGTTGCAGCAGGGACAGAGAGGGTCAGTTTAGATGGCTTGACGGCACACCAGTGATGTAAGTACTTTAATCACGATATCGGCAATAAAATAAGTGCATTTCTTTGATTAATCTAATAGGACTAAACTCATGCCGTTTGACAGTTAGTTGTCATTGGACGTTAGATCTTCATGTGTAGCGAGGAAGTTTGTCAGAATTTATGAGGAATGCACGTTTCTAGATTTATCTTAATTAAAATACCATGCAAACATAAAACGTTCTTAAGACGTTCACAAAACTTTCCAATGTCGTTAAAACGGTTATGATTTTAATGTTATTTATGTCCTATGAATGATTAGTTAACCGGCATTACTTGTAGGAGTGAATAGTCTGCAGTCCGAATAATAGTATTTGCTCACCTTCAAGCCCGGGTGTTTCATTGTTATTGCAATTGTCCTGCATTTCATTTTTGTTTTGTTTTTAATTAGATATGATGGTTGGGGACAAGGTGAACCAAACAATAATGGTGGAGTTCAAAATTGTGCTTGCATCAGGTCGGTCAGAGAGTTTAGAAAGCATGGAAAATGGGACGATGACCTCTGTACAGCGGACAGAAACTTGATTTGCCAGAAAGGAATTTGTGAGTCAAATCACATTTATCAATACTAGACTTAAATATGTGTCTTGAGATGTCACTCTTGTCTTATATCCATTGCACACAAGGTTTATTACTTTTGCCTGATGCAACAGTGAGGTGCGGTTTTTGATGCGCAGTGTGAAAAAGGCGTCGTGCAGAGAATGGCTGCGAAATTAACAATGCAGTATCACATGGCGCATGGGCTAACTACTTAATTCACTGACTTGTTTAGCGCAGGTAATTGACGCAATCAAAATTAAGTTTTGTGTACAGCGGGCTTTACATTTGAAATAATTTCAACATCTAATTTATTTAGTAATAAAAATTTTGTCATTTACTGTCATATATATTGCTAGATTTGGTATTTTATTGCCTTTCTACCACTCCCATTCTTTCTTGTATCTCATCCTACAGATAATTTCCGACTCGACACGATCCCTCGAACTATTCCCGGTTTCGCCCCGCGTTTTGCTCATGTCTACTGCGCCGTCGATGTCGAAATCGAAGGAGAAACACTGTCTCCAGATGACGTCAAGCTATCCATTGGTCAAACTCTATCGTCATCGAGACCGATCTCTTACTTTTTGACGAGCCTTGATGGTGAATTCCGTAATAATAGTTTCCTCCTTTACAACGTGACCGAAGGTGACCAAATCTTCTGCTACGCTGGTGAACTGCCTGACCGAAATAGATTCTTTTCACTGGCTACTATTTCTGCGGTATTTGATTTTTACGGTAATTACCATATTTAAACTGATTAGGTGATTTTGTATATCAAATGTAAGTAGTGAATAACAACATACACACTGTATATGCATGAACATTATCGGAGATACCTATTTAAGAATGCAACGTTTTTGGAGACTTAATAAGGCAATTCAAAATAGGCCCTAAGATTGGGATTTCAGATTGAGTTTTATTTTTACTTGTTTTATTTGTTGGTTTCTTTGGTGGTGTGTTTTTTCTCATTAAGTACTCTATACATAAAATCAGCGTTTAACTTGATAGCTATATAATTTTCAGCTTTACTAGAGCTGTCATCCGGCCCAACAGTCGGAGAGATCAGCTCGTCATCAGTCACTGTCTTCTGGAGCTCTTGGATACCCTTTCTGGACTCCGGCGACGGACCAGTTGTTGGTTACCTTATCTATCAGCAAACGATGGAAGAGAAATGGCAAGAGGTTGGTAGAATCGACTCAGGTATGGGAGAGGGCGATCTTCAACGAATAATGCAGTTTGTATTGACTGAATTGGAACCAGGAACAGAATACAATATCAGTGTGTCTGCCGTCAGACAAGGTCCAGGCGGAGAAGGACCAAGAAGTCCACTTGTGACTGTTACGACTCCTACCCTCGGTGAGTGGTGATTGGACTAATATTAACGAAGATTTTGTATGCGAATGTAAACAGAAACATCCAACCATCAGCTAAAACGCATTAGTCTTAGCCTCAATAGTCCTATATGGTGTATTTGGCAGTCGGTCATGCTTCCAATTGACATAAGCCATTAATCTTATCCCGACTCTTACCCTTACACTACTGCCCATTCACCCCCCCCCCCCCCCTCCGCTGAGCGAGGAGCCGGACTTGGGAGGAGAGCTGGCTGGACTTTTTTAATAATTCTGTCGAGTAAAAGTGCCAGTCCTTCACTGATTATTGACTACGATGTCGCAATGATCCTACAGTTACCCTCGCCATTAAGACAATCATGGATTTGTCCTTGATCATTGCACAGAACTTCTTAATCTGGTCCACGTTCTATCCTACATACCAATTATTATGCGCAGCCTAGGATCTATGACCAAGGGGGGGGGGGGGACATAGGGCCAGTTTTATTAAAATAGCAAACGTCTCTATTTTACAGTTATTGACTGGCAGGGGGTGTAATATAAAATTATTTGGACCGCTGAAGGGAGTTTTATTTCCTAAGTGGTTATATTTTCCCGAGGGAAAATCTCCCTTCAGGTCCAAAGAGTGTTATATACCCCCTTCCAGTCAATAGCTGTTATATTAGATAGCATTGCTTTTATTTATTTATTAGGTGGTCTGTCGTTTTCGACAGATCACCTATTGTTTTCGTCAGAATTTTCTTTCTTTATTTATTTATTTATTTATTTATTTATTTTTATTTATTTCCTACACTTTTTTGTGCCTAGGATAACTCAAGTTCGGTTTCGTCAATTTCATTTAATATTGGCACAGTCATAGGTCATTGTCATGAGACGTGACAGGAACATTTTCAAGGTCATCAGGTTATCGTGACGTCATCCAGGCGCCATTTTGTGAAATCACGTTATAAATCATATCTCCATGATGCATAATGAAAGGTCATTTATATTCATATCACATATACTTCAGGTCAAGGGTCAACAGGTCATGTCATCAAAGGTCACATAAAGGTCATGACGCGCGCGTACGCGTGCGTCAAAATTTAAAAATGCTCAAAATCACTTATTTATTAAACGAGAGTACTAATCAGGTCATTTTAAGCATTTCAAAATTTTCCGTCCGTACGTGTCCCCGCGCGCGTTAAAGATCAAATTCAAAATTTTTACATGATTTAGATTCCTCTTACCGTAAATGACAATTTGCATTAATTTCAGTCACTCTTGACCTTTCATAAGGCCGTGAGCGCGCGTCAAACTTCAAAATCCGCGCGTGCTGCTATGGGAAATATAATCATATGGCTCCGTTTAGTCTCATTTCACAACGCCCCCTATCGTCAGAGCATGGTCAGATTCAGCAGCCTAACATGTTAGCCTATGTACGTTTTTTTTTTTAAAAATCGTTAAAAATTCATTTTTTGTTTAAACGAAAAGCACATCCACCCCGACGTACGTTATCCCTAGCTCTTTCATTGGAGTCCTCATGTCTCATTGACTTTTAAAAGTTCACCCACCGTAATTTTTCAAAATAGGTTGCAAGCTCGTCATTGCCTATAATACACATGTGAAACAAGTCTAACTTTGGACTCAGTTTACCAAGCGATTTGAAGATTATAGGTCGAGCACACGAAACATAAAAAGCATGAATTATCATAGATCACTTCTGCCTATTTCGTTTTGTCCATTTCATCCAACCCCCCACCGTAAATTTAGTAAAAGCAAACATTTTGCCGAGTTTAGCAAAAACATGAATATTCATGAACGGTCAGACAATACAGTCTTTTAGTACGTAACGTATAATAAATGGGAATGTGCGATGATCCGTGTAGGAGGAAGAGGTCAGTGGTTTGTGCTGGCAATGTTCACGCGAGCGAAAATGAGACAATCGGAGCAATATGGCAAATTTGATCAAAAACATGCCATTTTAAAAATCGAAATAGCTCTTCAGATAGTCGATCGACCCCCAACTTTTATATCATGATTGGAAAAAACATGAGTTGGAGATATGATTTCATGTCTCATTTGACCCTCAATTAACTCATGACGTCATCATAATGGCCTCCGAACTCAAAATTTCAATTTGCATATTATGACGTCAGCAGATTTTTGCAAAATTGATTGTATCTCTGTAAATATTGATCAATTTTCTTTCAAATTTTGATATGTTCTACCTGAGATTATTCTCTACAAATATAGTTACCACGATAATTCATTTTGACAAAGGCATCATGGCATATTTTTGCAATTAATGGAGGCATGTCAATTTTTCACATTTTGCGTGCATTCTCTATGGGACATGACTTTTTCTCAAAACTGGATCTACATTCTCGTCTTTCGCGAGCAATATCTCCGTCGTTTTATCTTTGTTTACCCTGAGCTTTGAGTATGTTGTAGCTGAGACAATAAGCTATCACTAGTGTGCCATTTATTTCTCGATCAGATGCCGGGATCATGCTCATATTTCACTTACAAAGTGGGATTTGAGAATTCAATTTTCAGTTTACGTGTAATCTCTATTGGAAATGTTTTGGTATATCGGTAACGCACTTGACTTCCGACCTCGAGGTCCCTGGTTCGAGTCCGGGCGTTTCTAACAATTTTTTTCTTCACTTTTTTTTCTTTTTGACCTTTCAATGTACCATCTCCTTTGAATATTAAAACACGTACAATCGCAAATAATGTAATAAACAACCATATTTACTTTAATATTACCCTATTATCACTTGATCCATTACTTTTGGCGTGTAATCCTTATGGGAGATGACTTTTTCTCAAATCTGGATTCTACATTCTTGTCTTTTGCGAGCAATATCGCCGTTATTTCGGCTTGATTTTTGTTGATTTTTGAGTATGTTGTAGCTGAGACTATATAATATCTAAATGTTCTCTCATTTTTTTCAGTCTGATGTCATCGTGGTCTGTTGATGATAATCATCAACATCATCATGATCATCATCATCATCATCATCATCGTCATCCCCATTACTATCAAGATCATCATCATGATGATCATCATTGTTTACATGTCTATATAACTTCTCCCTTTCTCAATATAGTAAATATTATAATCTATCATAAGACTTGAAGACAGACCACCTAATTCGTCCCCATGACGAATTAATTTTTTTTTTTTTTTTTTTTTTTTTTTTTTGGGGGGGGGGGGGGGGGTCCATATTTTGTTTTGCCCGATATATTATTTTTTCGGGGACAATCAACATTTTAGAAAAAGAATTGCAAACAAAAAAATTGGGGAAAATAACATTTCGAGATCTTTCAAGAAAAAAAAAACCTTTAAAAAGAAATTCTTGTAAAAAAAAAATTGGGGGAAAATAAATAATTTGAATTTCAAGGAAGAAAAAAAAAATCTTACCCCAAAATGCATTTTGGGGAAGAAAAAACGACCCTCGGTAATTGTGTAAGGTGTGTAATAGACCATTTTCGTAATGTAACCAAATGTAATACACAAGTCTTTATGAAGTGCTTCAATACAAATTGTTTCATTCACCTGATAAGAATAATAGTAATTCAATAGTCAGAATGCAAGCTGCATTATATCAAGTGTTGCTAGGTAGTTCAAGCCATAATGTTTGTCCAACCTGGCAACAACTAATGTATGCAGTATACTATTATTCTTACCAGGTGAATAAAATAATTTGTATTGAGGCACTTCACAAAGACTTATGCATTACATTTGGTTACATTACGAAAATGGCCTATTGGTGACATACAGTCATTGATTAAAAATATATTTATTTCACCAGCTGGTTAATACAACACCGAAAAGTGACCGGCCAGGAAAATATAACAATTTGGATCCTCACAATTGATATCACGTGTCGAGCTCTGCACCAATCACATCTCGATACCTGTCTAAGCTATCTAATATTAATATTTATAGCATTCTTTGTTGAAGCAATAGGTTTATTCTGCAACTAGCAATGAACTGATAAATGTTGGTGATTTACGCTTATTTATTCAATGTTGCAGAGTGTCAGCACCTGACGAATTCTAATGCTCGTTCAGTGGTTTTAATCGTGACATTATTCTTGGGGAACATCATACTTGCTATTGCCATGGTGATTGTATGGTAAGAAAACAAAACATTTTAATTTCTCGCACAAGAGTAATGCCCTTTTCGAAAAACGTTTGAAATGCAGGACGTGGTTTTGCAATATTGACATTGTTTTTAAATGTTCTAATTCCTAATTTTAACTAGTTCATACAACATAGCTACCTGCAATCTAATCCTCTTGTACAGTCTGCATTGCAAAAAGGCATTTCTAGGTTAATTGAGTTACAAAAATCATGTTAATCTCATCATGTTTATTTTAAACCTGAATAT